GGTGTCTGAGCTGGCTTGCAATTAAGTTACGTGCATGAGGCTGGCTTTCCATCCCGTTTCATTCTAGTGGGTGCTCAGTGTTGAGCATAGTAAATGAGGTAGCATTTAGTCTGGAATGTGTAGCAATCTGGGGCTAAGATGAAATTCCTGTGTTTGAGTGTTGCTTAGTGGATGTCAGCAATACTGGAAGTATATTTGACCCAAGCTTCCTCCCCGGATCAGATACCAAAGGCTCTGGATTAATGTTTCATTGTAGCATTACTTTGAAGACTTGTTATTCTAGATTGATAGCTTTGATGCAGACATTGTCTGTTCCCATGGTGATTAGCATTTGAGTTCCTTCCTGGGGGAATGAGAGGGCAGCCCACGAGCGCTGAAATCCTGTGCACAGAGGCATGTCCCTGGGGAGGGGGCCGGATGCCTGTGCACACCTGCTGGAGGGCTCCTCTTTCAGACACACTTCATGCAGCTTGGCCTGAGCCGTTTTCTAGAACTGAAAGCAAACATTTACATTCTGAGGCTCCTCTGTATTTATGCTGGGCTTCCGGCTCTTCTGTCAATATTTGGGAAGCTACTCCTGGTCAGTTCCTGTTGACTTTTACTGAAAAGTGGCTAGTGAAGCAGTAAATATTTTTGTGCATGTGATAATACAGCTGGTCAGGGCAGACAGATCTCTTGAGGAGCAATCTTGTGATCTGGGACAGAAGCCTGGTGGTTCATGGCTTGTGCAGGGAGTAGTCACAGCCTCTGGTTGCAGCAGCAGGTCCTAAAAGACCACCCTTTCCACAGCAATTGGGAGAGCAATGCTTGTTCCACTGTCAGGCTCCTGGAAAGCCAGACTTGCCAGGGAAGAGCCGTCAGAGGTGTGCCAGGCAAACTACAGCTAGGAAGTCAGGGTTGCAGAACGGCAAAGCTAGACAAAGAGCCCTGTTAACAGTCCCTGCTCAGCTGCTGCTCTGAGAGGACTGTTAACAGTCCCAGCACTCACAAACTGATAGGAGCTTTGCCATCAGCCCCTGGTTACTTCTGGGAACTGGACTGCACTAAGTGGGGCTCAAAATGAATGCTTAAGCCTGAAACACTGTAAATGATGCTCTGTTCTTGTGTCTTGCGTCTGGGCTGGCAACCCAGAGGAGCACGCTGGGACCACTGATGGATGTTGCTTTGTTGCCTTCTGCCCCGCCATGCAGTGAGAACCCTTTGCCGACTGTGGAAATTGCTATTCGCAACACCGGGGATGCTGACCAGTGGTGCCCTCTTCTGGAAACCCTCACAGATGCCGAGATGGAGAAGAAGATCAGAGACCAGGACAGAAATACAAGGTGCTGCCACTCGTTCAGAAAGTTCTCTTTCTGGTCTGTCTCTAAGACAGAAGTTAAAAACTTTGATGTTTGTCTTTCTCTACCGAGAGCCAACTGGCAGGATTTCAAAATTGTACACCACAACAGAAACTCATATCCCTTTAGCTTCAGGATATTAAAATGTTATCACCTTGCTCCACAAACATTTAAGTCTCTAACCTCTCCTGCTTGAAGCAAAGCTTCCTTTTTTTTTTTTTTTCTTTCCTTTTGCCTAGGCTCTCTGCTTGTGCAGGGGGATTTGTTTCTATAGGAAGGCATTTATCAAAAATATTGGAGTTTCATGCACTGTCATGCTACCTAGAATCCTGCCACAAGGCTTCCTCTTATGTAGGGCAAAGTGCTGTTTGATGTAGGAATGGGCAAGCTCCCAGCTCCAGCCTGACTGATGCCGACCTGTGTGTGAGCATGAGAGCACCGTTGAGATTCCAGGAGGAGCTCTGCCTGCCGGAGATCCACTGAGCAGTGTTCGATGAGCAGGCGAGAGCACTCGCTCCTACTTGGTGAAATTGCTCCTGGCAGATACAAATGAACTGCTAGAATCTCTCCAAAAGATGCATTGTGGGAACAGTAAATATGCTGGCTTGGCTGTTTCCCAGGATTTTTTGTTTTGTTTTGTTTTTTTTACTGCTGATTAACAGTTTCATAATTATCTTGCTTCTCAGCTATGGCTGGCTGAATAGTTTTCAATACTGATTGGTTCAATCCAAGTTAATGAGCAAAAGTGCTCTAAAAGCTTTTGCTGAAAATAGCGTCTTAGCCTTATCACCAGGGGTACTCTCAGGTGACCAGGGAGGTCTGTCTAGGCAATAAACCTGTCTAGAGAGTTCACAAAGCTGCCGCGGCCTCCCCAGAGGTGTTGGTTTTAGTAAGACTTCACATGACTATAACACAGCACTTACTGTACCTCTCTCTCTCCCCTAGGCGCATGAGACGTTTGGCCAATACTGCTCCAGCCTGGTAATCTTCCTGTTGTGACACTGGTGCTCTTCCTACAGACTTTATCCCTATTCCTGTCCCCAAATGGATCTAGAATTGGCAGGGGTCTTTGTCCCTGAAGGGGACACACATTCCACTTGCCAAGAGTTCCCAGTACTGCTGACTTCTGCCCCCATCCCCTCCACCCAAATGCCACATAGCAAGAATGCTGCGTTAGCACGTGACCTAGCTGAGACCTGTGGCAGCTGTTGGAGCCCTTATATACCTGTGTGTGGACAGTGTAAAGATTCTTTTGTATAGGTGCAACGTGCACTATTAGGACAACTTTTTAAATAAAAGGAATGCATACTGCTTAGGTTGAGTTCAGTAACTTTGAACGGGTAGTGAGTCCCATTGTTCATGCTGTTCTGGTAACTGAGCAGTCCTGGGGCCTAATATTAATGCTTTTGGGTGTAACACTGAATGCTTGCATGCATTTAGTTTTCTTGAAGCATGGTGGAAACAGAGTGCTTTCCTTCAACAGATAAAACAGCCCGAAACCTTTTTGCTGTGGGGGAAAGGGAGAATGAGACTTAAAACTAGAAGCAGGAAATCTAAAGGACTGGCCTGTTTCTGCACTTGGTGCAGTCTGTAATGAGCTCGGTGAGGCATTCAGCTGGCCTTTAAGGGTAGAACAGTTTAACTGAAGTCACAAACTGAATTCATTTGCATCATATGTCAACCTGGTGTGTGGTAAACTGTTTTTTCCTGTGAAAACTGCAGCTGAAAAGCAAAAAAAAAAATCTCTGAACAGGTGCAAAGGTTAAAGCCTGCAATGGCTGACTGAGATGCGGCTTCTCTTCAGCAAGTGGCTTTGCTGGGGTCATTGTCAGCACACGTAGCTGTCAGTTACAGTGCACAGAGCACCCAAAGCACAGTGGGTGTCTTAAATACCTTTAGCATTGCAGTGTCAGGATTTTTGCAACCCTAGAAATGACCTGTCTTTCCCTGGGGAGTTTAAAAACAGAAAATTCATTGAAGTGAGATAAAAAAAAAATCAAGCTTGCTTAAAAAACTAATTAGAATCTACCTTGCTGTTGAGGTACACTAGTTCTTTGATAGAGTTCCTATCATTTGCTGCCAGCACTGATGAGTGTTGCAAGCAGGGCAGATTTTGTTGGCAGCCTGACAGTTATGTTCAGGCCTTTATGATAAAGCCAATAGATTTTATGATCCTTGCTGATCCACCTACACTGCTAGCGCAGTCAAAAAACACTTTCTGGCCTTAATTTATCATGTTTAGACTTGAGTAATAGTATAGCCAGTTCTGATTCCTGGGTGGAGTTTTCCAGATGTTAGTCTGCAGAAACCAAAAACTTGCCATTTAGCAATAATATTATTGCAGTCTTATCCTTGGCTCCTGTGCCAGAGTGGTATTTTATCCATTATTCCTTACTGGAGAGGTTGAAAGGTTATTTCAGCAAGACAGAACCTGGGGTTCCTGCTGCATCTTGCCCTCCCATGTAGAACCCGTTTTGCCTCATGGACATACAAACTCCACCTCTTCCTGAGAACACTTCACCCTCTTTGTTACAATCAGGTGCTTCTGCAAGCAGCCTTACCAGGGAATGTGACCAAAACAAGTGGGCAACTGCTCTAGCTGTAAACTAGCATCTGTGGTGTAATTTTTGAGTTTGTGAAGCTTAAAGTTCACAACAAGGTATGGACACATGAGGGCCTTACCAGGCTTACAAGTACCTGCCCAGGAATTGCACCTCCAAGCAGCCAGGGGCAAGGCAGGACACTCCAGTGGGCCACATCCTGGGAAAATGAGAACTTTGCCCAGCTTTCTCTGTGTGCAAGAACTATGAGGGAACTGCTGGGAGCAACTTTCCTGCTCTATAGTCATCACTCCTTAGCTTAATCTGGTACCCTAGCTAAAAGTGTAGCCCAGCTTTTGCACATGAAAGTCCCATCTCAGAAGCAATTTAAAATAGAACAGTGATAGACTCTAAAGGCAAATTCTTTCCAGGGATTGAAACACCAGCTCTGCATTATTAAGTCATGAGCAAAGCACCCAGCATGTACCTGTTGAGTCTGAGGTTGCATAGCCCTTAGTACCACTATATGTTAATCAGATGGTGGTTACTCATGTTTCTCTCCGTGGTTTTAGTGGTGGCTCACTAGCTTGTCTAGCTGAGCAGACAGCAACATTACCAACTGAGCTATCCTAAGATACGGTGTTTGCAGATTTACTCCAAAGGCTTTGAGGTCTGGTATAAGCACATGTGTGTACTGCATTAGCAAGAGTGACCAAATCCCTTTAGTACAGCTGTTGAGGGTAGGAACTACCTTGTTTAGTTTTCCTCTAAAATTCAGATGTTTAAGTCTCAGAACTGAAAAATTCAGCCAGTGGAATTACACTGCATGTGCAGACAGCCTTTATTACTAGTGTCGAGTGCTACTTCCAGTCACTGCCTGGATGGACTGTCCAGCTCTGTCCCCTGTCCTTTCCCAGGCAGCCCTCTCTCCAATAGACATCCCCCTGCCCCTTCTCATGCTCTGCAGTCTTACTGACAGAAGAGGGGAAGATCTTCCAGCTAGCATGAACTTTGCCTACCAAAAAAAGAAAAGCCCAAGCAAGCAGCCTGACAGTTTTGAGCCAAGTCCTGATGAGTACTAGTGAATCACTGCCTCTGCCCCCAGCAGAAATGGACACACAACTGAAAAATAAAGACTTTAATGTAAAGACTCTTTGGAAACAAAAACAACCAAATAAGGGGTTGGGGGAGTTGGAGGAAAGGAAGAGGCTGAGCTGCATTCTACCAGGTAGAGTAGGGAGTACTACTTCACTGAAAGCCCACAAAGAGGCCTCACAACAGCAAGAGCCAGGAGCGTTAAGTCTTTGTACAGAGGGTGAGAGTGACCTGGCACACACAGCAAGTCATTAAGAGCAAAAGAAGGAGTAACTGGTTTAACACCATTTGATACCTGTTCCCCACTGGGCAACAGAGGAGCCATCACACCTTCCAGCCCATCCCTGGAACCTCTGTACACACTCAGCAGTTCTTATGTGCGAAGCTCTGTGAAACCACTTGGTACAAGGGGAAGATGAGTTACCCATACAAACAGTGAAACATTACACATCAGAATGGCAACTGGTGTTACTCCAGTCAGATCTCTGGGCCACTGCGTTAAGTCCAGCCGGAAGAGAGGAATCTGGCCACATGGAGAAGTCCTCTGTGTTACTGTGGATGCTGCTGCTGGTCTTGGTCTCTAGGGTGATTTTCTGGACGATCCTCAGGGAGAGGGTTATAGTTGGGATCCTCTTCAGGTGTGTCAAATACAATCTTCCTGGCAAGGGACATGCCCGTCCCACCAGGCAGGTTAGGAAAGTGAGCTGAGGACAGGTGAAACCCCCAGCCCTCCTAGGAACGCTCTGGCCCTTCACAGGGCTTGGCTGTATGCCACAGCCTCCCACCTACTGTGCCAGCACCAACTGTCCTTTTGCTCAGCACAACATGTAATGATGACAATACCTGCTTCCCTGATCTCTAGGTCAGCTTTGATCCTCAGCCTGAAGCAGAACATGTTCTGCTTTAATAAACTACAGAAATATATCAGGAAAAATCCTACCAGCATCTAGCATTTCCACAGGCAGTAACAATGCTCCAGTTCAACTAGCAAAGCTTATGGTGAAAGCAGTTGCTTTGCAGACCCTGTATACATGTGTGTATAATACACAAAATGCCAGTGCTTTCTACAGCAGAAGCATAAACTGTCGAGCTGAGACACTATGTACATGCAATTGCATCCCGCGGTCACCCCACGCTGTCACAGTGCGGTTTGCTATGAGAGTGACCCAGGTTGGGAAGGAACACAGCAAAGCCCAGAAAGGATCAGCTTTACTTACAGGAAGCTGGGGGTTAACAGCAACTTCTTTCCTCCAGGCTGGTTGGGGAAAACATCTTCCAAGAAATAATAGATGTGACCCACTGCAATCCCTGGGGAGAGATGTCACCAAAGTCAGGCCCAGCTGAGACTGCTCTGCCAGCTGAACTGGAGCTGCTGGGATCTTAAGCAGGGTGAATGGGAATCCCTCAGCTGTGTACCCATGGCCCAGCTCCCACCAGAGCCACCCCTGCTGCAGCACCAGGCTGTTTGCTGTGGTGGGCGCATCAGTGGGCAGGGAGCCTGCCAGCCTGAGGGCAGTCCCAGGCACCCAGGGGACCAGACACAGCCCAAGCATCAGGCAGAGCTCACCATACCCAACTTCTGCCCCTGGGGAAGACACAGCAAAATGCAGGTCACAAGCAAGAGCTCAGGCACCAGGCTGGGCACCCAGCAACCTCAACCAGCTCACCTGAGGAAACCCACCACCTTAAATAAGATGAAACCAAGAGATGGTGCTAGTGCCCCAGTAGCATCAATGAGAATTGAGTGTTGTGTCTGCAAAGTGCCCTTGTCCCCAGCACCCACCAGCTTTGGCTTACCCAATAAGTCAATGATGATGGAGTTGCCCAGGAGCAGAGAGAATCCCATCAGGACCCAGGGCAAGAAGGGGGCCTGGAAGTTAAGAAGCCCAAAGAAGTTCATGCGGATATAAGGGTTCCTGCGACTCCACACGTACACCAGCATGATGGTGAAAGCCTGGCCCAAGAAAAACAGGCTGGCAAAGAGTCCAAATAGCTAGGAACTACCGAGTCAAGGAAAAATCTGCCCACCCTGTGCACCACCTTCAGGCAGCACAGCGTGCCTTGTGACTAGGAAACCCAGAACTCCTGGCAGCTGATCACGGTGTGCAAGACATTGCCCACACCACCAAACCTTTCCTGGGCCGGCTGAGATGTGCTGATCCCCACCACACACCGTATTTCCCCTCCCTGCCACCCCAGAACAAGACACTCTGGAGTAGCACATACAGATTGGTTACTCCTTAAGCTACTTTCTACAGCCAAAGACCAGGGCGCTAATATAGTCACTTCTCCAAAGTGACCATTAAAAGCAATCTTCAGAGAAGGAACTTCACATTGTTACAGCACTCGTGAGCTAGTTTTTAATATGTGCCACACATCCCATCCAGTATCACCCTTCTGCAAAAGAATTTCAGCAGCAAGATGGCTGTTGCCATTCACAGACCTCTTCTACAGGACATAGAGAGGCAGCCGGAGGCAGGAAATTCCCATCCTTGTTGCAGCTGAACTCTAAATCTACCTACAACTGAGCACATGGCTGCTGCAGGCACCTGGACACTGACTAGCCAAACACCCAGGGATGGCCAACAGCCACAAGAGTTCATACAGCTTCATGCAGAGCTCTGAGCCATCTGCATAAGGCAGCAGCAAGACATTCAGAGGAGGTTTTATGCTGGGAGGGGGGATATATTCCTCCCCATCCAGACTATTTTGTCCTACAATAAAAGAACTTCTTAAGAAGATGTGTGACAGTTATCTCCAGCCACTGACAGGTTGCAATGACAGAGTGCCAGGCTTGACGCTGCCTGGCATGCTGACAGCAGACAGCATGCAGACACCCCACTCCTTGTGCTTACGGCTCTGTGTTCTTCCCTTCAGCCGCAGCTCGTTTTTCTGAGCCAGCCTCATGCCAATCGTAGCCACGCTGCAGCGTGCTGCAGCTGAACGGTTTCTCACAGAGCGTAACAAGGGGCTTCCTTCCAGGTGAGCTTCCTGAGCACACTGCCACAACTCCTCTTCTGGGATAAGGCCACCTGTCCCTTTGTCAGGTGCATCAGCACTTCCAGGCACCAACACAAGTACAGGCAGCTTCTCCTGTATTTTGCTTCCACTCTAAACATCCTGGGTAAGGCACAGGCCAAGCCTCTGGAGACAAAGGTGGGCAAGATGAGGAGCACGAGCTGTGCCATACAGCCAGAAGTTGCCCCTCCACCATCCAAGAGCCCCACATGCTCAGCAGAGCCCTCCCAGGCCTCAGGGCACAACAAGGCTCTGCCCTGTGGCACCAAGAAAGTTCACAAGAAAGTTCTGTCCTGCTCAGCAGGCAGGTGCCTGCTACAGACCACACAATACAGCCAGCACACAGAGTGCCAGCAGACAAACCCCACACTATCTCAGAAGACACCAAAGGGCCTCAACCAACTCAAAAGGATACTGTCATAAGAAACCCTCCGAAGAGGAACATGAAGACAAAGTCAGCCGTTCTTCCACGGAAGGAGCCTTCTTCTAGCATGCGGCAGTACCTGTACCTGAGAGCAGGAGAGAAGGGAGGGGTTGCAGTATAGGAAATCAACAGCTGGCCACCCAGTGTCCCCACAGCATGACTTTACAGGGAAAAAGCCATTTGCAAGCTATTTCATCACAGGAAGCTGTCGGCCAGGTGTCCAAGCCCCAGAGCAGAGCAATGCAAACAGTGCAGAGAAGGAGGTGCAGAAGGAGGCCACAGTTGTCTGGGGAACAGCTTCAGTTCAGACCAAAGAGCCAAGGGAAGAATCCACAGCCCTAGACTGCTGCCAAGAAAAGTCAGCCTGGGGAGGAAGATGGACAGAGGGAATTGCATCTCAGCCAAAAAGGGAGCAGAGCACTTTACTGAGACCAAAGGATACAGAAATATCATGTTGAAAAAGAAACTGAATCCCAGGGGCCCAAAAAAGAGGAAGTTGGTGATCAGCCTCCATATCTGAAAAAGAGAGAGGAGAGAGGAGGTGGACAGACAGGTCTCCCCCCCCATCACACATACCCATCACCCTACCCACTGGGGACGCCCGGTCACGCACCCATCCACTCAGAACTGCCCCATGACACCAGGCAGCCGCACCACGTTCACATGGGACCTCCCTCCATTGCCCACATCAGAGCGTCTTGCCCTTCCAGGTGTGAGGAAGAAGATTTCCCTACTTTTATGGAAGGGACAAACAGCCACGACTCAGCACCCAGAGACAGAGTAAATCACCGTTCAACCTAATGACCCCACTACAATAACGCCTTCCCCACCCAGCCTGACATCAGCTGGCCAAACATCTCAGAGTCACAGGAAAGGAAGACAGAGGTTTTGAGTAAAGGACAAAAGGCAATGCCGAGATGGTGTACGGCAAGGCTGGAAAAAGTTATCTCCATCCAGGCATCTCTGACAGAAGAGGACACCGTGTTGGCAACCCAGCTCCCCCAACCAGAGGGGGCTGGAGCAGCGGGAAAGCAGCCCCTCGGGATCACACAGCACGCCCTGACCACCCTGGGGAGCGGGACACCCGGGGCCCGGCCTGTCACACCCACCCCTCGCTGGGAAGGGGATGCAGGGCCCAAAGCCCGGGCAAGGCCTCACCTGGAACTTCCTGAAGATGAGGTCGGGGTTGAAGTACAGCTGGAAGGGGGTGATGAACTCCAGCTGCTGTGGGAGACAGGC